AGGAACTTGTTTACTGTAATGTGCTGTTAATCTGAGCTCATTTACTTGGATGCAACGGCATTTGCATACAGACACACTTCTCAGAACTGGTTGAGAACATGAGGACTAGTGGTCCTGATTTGGTAAATTGTTGCATATAAACAGGATTTGCATTCAAATTAGTGTTTTATATTGCTGCCTGATTATACTTCCCATTTTAATAATGTTGAATGAATGGCAGTAGTAGATTTCAGAAAGCCAGTCCACTGATTATATATTCCAATCCTAAATTTAATTAAAAATATTTACCCCCTTTTTTTAGTCCTTTGCTGAAATTTAGTAACAGGCATAAAATTTTCTTCTCCCATTAAATAACATGTGCAATTCTATAACAAATTGTTATACCGTCTAAATTACACTCAATAATTTGTTTAATAAAAGACTATTATACTGCTTCTGTATTCCTGTGGGAGGGTAATTGAGGAGCAACTGAACTCCACAGTGTTTATCATCTACTTCTTGCTGAATAGAAGAGAATAAGTCTACAGAAAGAGAAATGGGATGAGATGCAGAGTTCCCCAACCTAAGTCAGCAAATCCATGTTTTCTGGAGGACACTGCTCGCTACTGGGCAAAAACACTAGCTCAGTTCTTTTACACAGTTATAGCTATGTCATTGTGGTGCAGCTCTCCATTCTCACCCTGAATTACAAATGAAAAAGAGGAGAGTAAATATAATACTTTCTGAACAGGAGGCAGCAGTGTTCTGGGTGGCCAAGAAGGCCAATGGCATCCTGGCTTGTGTCAGCAATAGCGTGGCCAGCAGGGACAGGGAAGGGATCTGACCCCTGTACTCGGCACTGGTGAGGCTGCCCCTCGATTCCTGTGTTCAGTTTTGGGCCCCTCACTACAAAAAGGACATTGAATGACTCGAGCGTGTCCAGAGAAAGGCAACGGAGCTGGTGCAGGGTCTGGAGCACAGGTCGTACGGGGAGCGGCTGAGGGAACTGGGGGTGTTTAGTCTGGAGAAGAGGAGGCTGAGGGGAGACCTCATCGCCCTCTACAGCTCCCTGACAGGAGGGTGCAGAGAGCTGGGGATGAGTCTCTTTAGCCTAGTAGTAAACAACAGGACAAGAGGTAGTGGCCTCCAGTTGTGCCAGGGAAAGTTTAGACTGGATGTCAGGAAGTATTTCTTTCCAGAACATGTTGGGTGTTGGAATGGGCTGCCCAGGGAGGTGGTGGAGTCCCCATCCCTGGAGGGGTTTAAGGGTTGGGTCAACTTAGCGCTTAAGGATATGCTGTAGTTGGAACTGTCAGTACCAGGTGAATGGTTGGACTGGATGATCTTCAAGGTCCTTTCCAGCCTAGATGATTCTGATTCTGTGATGCATCCAAAATAAAAAACATGGTTAATTTTAGTGAGAAATGGTTTCCCAAGCTGGTTTGCCATCTGACTTCCACCGGTTCAGCACCATAGCAGTGGCATAGCTCAGAGAGGTGTGTGGATGGTGGTTCTCGCATATATTCAATGCTTGCACACCTGGACGTCTTCACTGTTGGCTTTCCCAAACTGTCTTGTTCCCAAACTGTCTTCCCAAACTTGTCCCAAAGCCTGTCTTCCTCCTAGTCTGCACAGCAGCAGCACATCCTCTCTGTATTGCTGCTGGGACAGTGCAGCTTCTCCATTTTCCTGTGCTCAGATTTGTAAGTATTATAACGGAGCACAATTCATTTGATGAAGACAGATGTCTTTTTTTCAATCCATGAATTTGAAGAAAATATATGAAATGAGATGGTTTCAGTGCTATAACTTAAGTAAAACGTTATAATTTAATTGCACTATGTGTTAACAGAGTATTTTTCTTGTTGCCTGGCAATGAGATTTACAGTGAGATTCATCATGTGCTTAAGATTTCATTATTAACTTCTGTTTTCAGAGGTTTATAACTTTAAAAACCATTATTCGTAGGACAATCCAAAAAGAGTGTGTTGGAAATTCTTTTTGTTATGAGGTCACTTACTAAGGAAACTTGAGGCAGAAAGCTCTGGTGCCCTCTGATTTCCATGCCCATTCTACTATATGTGATAAATATTGAAACTAACATCTTCAGCAACAATTGTTTTGTGTGGTTTTAAAGCAGTAAGCTATTTGTAAAAGTGTTCTTTTACTTTAAGGGTTCTATATGGAGCATTTTTTACCAAGGCAGCTACCTCTGCTTAGAAGAGCAGCAACCTCTTTGTGCTTTCCCACAAAACTGAATGCCTAGGAAAGGGTTTGAGAACTGGCATTTGGAGTCTTCTCTGTTAGCATTTCACATAGTGGAATGGGTTGAATGTTTTCTTTGAGAAACTGTAATGCTTGCTAGGTAAGAGGATTACATGGATCTTGATGAAGTAGACTAGTGCTTGAAGAGGTTGGAGAAGTAGAACCTCTGGTAAGAGTGAAAAGCTATAGGACAGGCCCAGAAATCCACTTGGTTCCACAAGAAGAGCTAGCTTAAAGTTAGGGCCAGCATGTATATGCAGAACAAAAATTTTAGCTATGCGAAAAAACCCTGTATTTATTTTTTATTTCTGGTAAGGGTGGGCTTTGGTTTGTCTTGTACTACTCTTGTGAGGCAGTGCTGTACTAAAAGGGCTGGAAGTTGAGCTCATGGGGAAGAAGGCTGAAAACTACTCAATATCCAAGTATTTTCAAAAACCAAGTGTTTATGGCAGACAGTGTTTGGAAACTGTGTCAAAATTATAGTAGGCCTATGCCACTCATAGATGTGTTTCTGGACTGCATCGTGCTTCAAGGCAGAAAGCAAAAAAACAGTTTATTCATAGTTTCCGTAGAACTATTTAAGAAAATATAATATGATTACTGGACTTGTAAATTTGGACTTAACAAAAGATGCCAGGATCAGCCTTTATGAAGACACGAGGGGAAAAAAGTATTTTGAGTTAATCCTTTTTGAAAAGTAAAGTCCTCGATACCCTAGCATCTTAAAATGGTTGTGATTATTACAAAAGATTTGGTTTTGTGTGTTGAAATTTGTGCGTTTATAGAGGATCTGTGTGTTCAGTTGTGAATCTTTAAGGAACTTGACATTACTCATGTTGCAAAATATTGCTACTTTTTAACATCTGTATAATTTCAATTTGTCACCTTTGTAATGGTTAATTTTTAATTAAGAAACAGAAATTTAAAGTACATGCCTTCAAGTGAACGAAGTAATTTTCACTGGAAAATGAGACATTGGCTTTTTTTTTTTTAGATAAATTGACTTCTCTACCCCATGCTTGTGTTTCAGTAGATACATTTTGCACATATATGTAGTTTTTGGGGGTTATATAGTCTCAAGATGATTATGAATGCTAATTACTTTCAGAAGTCTGCTATGTATATGTAATTTTCTTGAGAAAATATAAAGCAGCTATTACAGATAACATAGATCAATATCACATGTGAAAAAGTGAAGTGCAGCATTTGCTGTGGTTAACATAAGTAGCATTTCCTGTTTAGCTAGACTCTCTTGGGCACCATTTAGTGTTCCTGCAGCCTTTGTATAGAAAATGAGGACAGGGAGGCGTGCTTGAGTCCCTAATTTAGACATCTAAAGTTAGAATTTGCAACTAACCTTCCCCATCCCCCTTCTCCCATAAGTGCTTTGAAATCTTCTGTCTTCATCAGTCTGCCTTGAAAAATTTCATTTCTCACTGGAGTGCTGCACTGGGTTAGTGGTCTGGATTTCACCTCCTTTGTGCTTCCCCAGATCATCATCTGTACAAGAATTGAATGAAAATGAATAAGTGTTCCCCTGACAGGATCTAACACTCCAGAACAATAACTGGGGAACTGGCAAAATGTCAGTTGTTTTTGCTGTTAAACTGACACTGAAGGAATGTGTAAAATAAAAGAGAAAGTAAAATCCTGCTTGTTTGGCATTTTTCTGTATTAAAGCAGCTCATACTGTTACATATGTTGTATGAATCAGAAACATACCATATAATTGTATTATGTCTGTGTGGAGGGAAAAGTGAGGGGAAGGCATTTGTTGGTCTTTGTTTTTAACATGGTTATGATTTCTAAAACTTCTTTACAGCAGAGAGAAAAGACTGTATATATTACTGCTGGTTAGTAAGAGTGCACTGGTACGAACCTGCACGACATCAGAATTGAATCAAGGATCTCCCAAAGCCTGACTAAACTGTTGGGAAATGTTTAGGGGAAGTACAGCTTGGCTTTACATTATGTAGAGTAGGCTTGGGACCATTTCTCTTCTCATGAAGAGAACATTGCAGTACACAGTGATCTGGAGTTATTTCACTCTTGTGGAAATCGATCCTAGTAAAGAACAGCATTCTCATACTGGAGCCGAATACCTTTAATGGTCACTCTTGTTTGGTGCCTAGCAACCAGTAAACTTTTTTTATTGTGTGATTTCTTATGTACATTGTAAGTTTGTATAATTATACCTGGTGATTTTCATTTAATAAATCTGTTGGGTTTGTGTGTATTTTTTCTCCCAACAGCTTTTTCCAAGAAAAAATTCAATACTGATAGCTCTAACTTTGCAACAACGTACCAGGAAAAAATTACCAAAAACGTGATAAGAAGCAACCAAAATTTCTTTTCAATTAATGGAAACATTTCCTAGACCATATTTGTTGCACAAAATCCAGAGTTTTAGCCTGAATTTTACCAAACATTTGCTTCTAAGCTGTGATTAAGCAGCTGCAAAGTAGAATTAAGTTGTTGCTACTTTTTGGGGGGGATACAATAAGGACTATGCTCATATAGTTAATAATAAAGTTGCACTCATAGTTTTGAGTGATCAGCAAATACTGCATCTCTTAGAAAAATCATGTCTCAATCTTGTACTGGAAGTGTGACTAAAAGGGCTTCTCAGTATCATTCTCTTGAGGTATCCTTGGTTCACTTGTTTTACATTATAGGAAATGAGGACTGCGATAAAACAAAAAGTGCCCTAAAACCACTTCAGACTTCCAACATAGATTTTTATTCTTGTTTTCTAGGTTGACTGGGGTCAACTGGACTATTTAGTAATTGACATGCCACCTGGGACTGGAGATGTACAGCTGTCAGTCTCACAGAATATTCCAATTGCAGGTATGTGTATTGCTTGACTGTTTCAGAGATTTAAAGTTAGTTAAGTCTGGTAGCTTTAGAAAAATCTAATTTTAAAATGCTGGTCAAAAATTCCTTTAATTTACTTTCTAATACACTATGAAACTGTTCTGTCAGTTGTGTGGTGATGCAAAACACTGTCAGTGATTTTTAACACGTTAGCATTACGATTCTGTTACTTTCTTTTAAGCTAAGTTTCGAAAAGATTGAGAAGTCAAGTATAGCAGTATTCCTGAAGGAAAGGCAGTCATGCCGAAAACTGGTAAGGTTAGTAGTAGAAAATATTTGCTTTGTCTGTACCTAGTACATAGTAAAGCTAATACAATAAAATCGTTTGTCTTCATGATTGCTTTTTAATTAGAAGCTGGCAGCGCTGTTAATGTGCAACATTTATTCAGATAAACCATGCAGCACTGCAGTACACTAGCTCATTCTTTTTCCTCTCATGTTATGAATTTGATACTTTCCAGGGAGTTTAAACTTAGACAGATCAATCTTGAGGTATGCAGGCTGCCCTCTAATCTCATTGGTTCCAGCAGGACTTAGAAATACTGCTCTGAAAGAATGCTGAGCGTCTCGTGAGATCTGGTAGACTGTAACGGTTTATTACCTGTCTGACATACTTCAACAGAAGCAGGTGTCAGTGTTAGGAACTCAGTGGTGAAAGAGACAAAGCAATCCTTAGTTCCAGGAATAATTTAATAATGGCTGTGCCTCTTCACTGGGGGGGGGTAGTGCAGCGCTGTAATGTTACGTAAAGAGTTTGTGGGATCTCCGTCCTTGGCAGTTGTCTAGATTGTTCTAGTCATAGTCCTAGCTGGCCCTATCTAGTATTGCTGGTAGATGACCTCTAGAGAGCTTTTCCAACCTGAAATTCTGTGATTCTGAGTTATCAAGGAATCAGTAGGACTACTGCCTCCACTTTTTGTTGATACTGTATAAATATGTTGATACATACCCAAAATGGTAACATCTTTTCCTGCTCTCATTCTTTTCTGAGTGCAGACTGGCTCATGTGGGCAGGCCGGCCCTGGTTCCCTCCCCCTTCGACACTCTTTTCTCTCTGCACTTTGGTGGCAGTAATGCACTGAAGCAAAGCCACCAAATATTAAATTGTAGAACTCTTTCACTTGCATGTAGAACTCTTACCAGGCTGCCTGATAAGTCTAATGAATAAAAAATTGTGTATCTCTACAAGTTCATAGGATAGGATCAAAGTGTTAGCTACGGGTATAGGTAGAAAGACTGGTGGGCGTTATAGACATGCCCATATATAAAGGTACTAGAGTTAATAGATTTTGGGACCTATATCCTGGTTTTACAGCAAGACCATCACCACTCTTATAGCACAGTGAAGTCTACAGGATTAAAAGGAGCCCTTTAACAGTCAGACAGCACCTTTTATCTTTTCCTTAATACAGTTGTGTCTCAGCTGCAATTGTACATAATAACCATAGTTACTCATGTATCTACAAGCTAAAATTTTTGACAAATAGTTAAATTTAGTGTTAAAGCTGCATGATGGTATCTCATGGTCTTCCATGATCTCAAGTTCAGAAAAACTTAAATTGTTTGACATAAGAAACTCAGTGTCAACTCAGCCATTAACACTATTGCCCCAAAATTGTTAATAAACATGGGAGGTTCTCTTTGCTGTCTGTGAATGTGTTGAGTGGTGGAAAGGAACAAATCAACAGAGTTGTGATGAAGGATTTAATGAATTTTTCTTACAAGACATAGGAGGCTTCTAGTGCCTTAGCTTATCTGTGACCTGGAGCATATGATGAAAAACAAACCATGAATCATACCCATTTTCTTAAATACAGAGCTTAGTAGATTGCATGTGCGAACAATGAAGCAGGAGTGCCTTTTACTCCCAGGATTTTAAGCAGTGAGGTGAAACATGACAGTGGTATGGAAGTTTTTGAAAAGGTAGAATTTCACATTAATTCTTGCATGTCAGGGCAGTAAAATTATGAAATTAAAGAAGTGTGACTTCATCTTTGTGAATTACTTTTTTTTTTTTTTCTTTGAAGTACTGTGAGTATTGATAATTGCTAATTACTACAGTGCGCCTAAATGTTCTGTTTTAACATAGAAAAGATCGTTAAACTCCTGATCTTCAAGGGATTATTGTGCTCTTTTCCCCACAGTTCTATACTGTCTTCTGAAGTGTGAGTGGTTGTGGTGCTGGTGCACTGAGTTGTTTGGGACAGAGGAGGAAAATAGTTTAATCCTGTATTTCTTCTAAGTTTTTCTGAGGTCTGTTTGTAGAAGGTCACAAGATCTTTCTCACTGATACACTACATTAATAAATTGAAACCTTAATTAGACAGTTTTCTTCATAATACTTATGTCTTCTTAGATGTTAACAGAAGAAAAAGAAGTTAAAAAAAACCTCTGGATTTTCTTGTTAAGGAGTGCAATGTCCTCATTTTTGTGTAGGTGTAACAAAGTGAAGAATTAAGAGTAAATATTTTTTACTCAGGATTTTCATTAGTTTTCCATATGATTGTCAGAAACCTGTGGGTTTTTGATTTGCAATTCATGTTTCTAAGCTGTGTATTGTCTTTTATTTTTTTACAGAAAGTATTTGGTGTTGTGCCATTCTGTTTCCTCTCCAGTTCTCTTGTTCTTTCTTTATCCTTTGAGGATGTCTTGGACAGTCATGGTATTAGTGGCATAATTTCTCTCTTTTTCCTCAGACACAGAATATATAACTTAGTTTTAGAAGTGCATTATCTGGTTTGCATGAAAGTTGTACTTTGATTTGCATGCATGCATATGTGAGATACAGCATTTGCATTACGGTTTCTTCATTATTTATCTGTGGCTTTCTAGGGATAGACAGTGTAGAAAATTTTTTACTCTATTTCTAAATAAATTTTCAAAACCTGCACGTGTATTTTTGCTAGCTACTTACAGATTTTTCTCTGTGTAGGAAAGAGCACTGGTAAAGGTGTTTAGCTTGGGGTGTGTTTGCCCAGATTAGGCATGAAAACCCGTAGCATTGCAACATCTGACAATAAGAGAGGGACTGACAGTATGTGTGAAATGGTATTGGGTTTTAATTTTAGAAGGCTTTTTTTATCCTGCAGGTACCATAATTTTCTTGAGTCAGAAAGAGATTAGAGCAATATCTAATGATTAAAAGCAACAGAACAAAATATGTCATATAATTCTGGTTGTCATTAAAGAGAATATTGGCCTCACACAACTTCAGCTGGAGTGACAGTTTTTTGTGGGTACATTTCCTTCTTTAAAAGAAGATGAAAAATGAAACTACTGTGACTTTGGTTTTTATTATTCTTAGCCACCTTACAAAGAGATGCGTTTTATTTAGCATATTATTATTTAATAATCCATAACTTTTCTCATGTTGCAGTCATTCTTTGACAAACTAGTAGATCGGAAATGATATGATAGCTTGAAAACGTGATATATATTTCTGTTCAACCCCTACTTATTTCTTTGATGCAAGTCTGCTTTCCAAATAGAACTTCTTTACTTTGTTGCTCTGTTTCATCTTTTGCATGAGATGTCCAGAAGTGGGTTCTTTATAATGTGTTGACCATACATGCTTGGGAAAGTTTGAAGCATCCTTACATGTTTTCCAGCTTTTAAAACATAGGGGGTTTCAGATGACATTATGATGTTTGATAAAAAGATATAGTGTAAATTAATGATATAATGAAGAATAAGGCCTGTGATTCCTTTGCATTGCCTAGTTACTAAATCGAGAAATTAAATAATTGTTTATAATTGATAATTTTAAAAATTGTATTGAGATTGACAATTAGCATCCCTAAAGGCTGGGGGAGAAGTTTATTATTCTCTCCCTTTACAGTGTGAAGTCTGCGTGAACAGTAGCATGGGCATCTCTGTTTGAGAGGCAGTCCTGGAGCCCTGCACAAGTGTTTCTTCCTCATGGAGAAGCTGCATTGTGGAAGCTGACTGTTAAATAAACTAGGCTGTCTACTGCCCATTCTTTATTAATGTTAAAGCGAAGTCTGCATTAGTGAAATGTGACAGCTTGACAGCTCTGGAGACTGACACTGTCTCAATTGACAGAACCGACTCCAGATTAAGACAGGAATTGTTTCATTTGCTAAACTTTGTCATATCACTCTTTTCTTTGGACATTGAGATCCCATGGCATTGAAAATCGTTAGAAATATACACCTGTCCAGTAGGAAGCGGACTGAGACAACCAAATAATTTCACATCTTACTGAACAATCTTTTAATAATTGCAGTAGTGAGCATTGGACTGAACTGTATTTATACAGGAGACCTAAAGGTAAAAGGCTTCATGTTTTATTTCAGTGTTCTTAATTTTACCACCTTTTTGAAGTAACTTTTTTTTTCCCCACACACAAAGCATATATCATTATAATCTTATAGTAATAAACTCTAAAAAGGCTTTTAATAAGAATCAGAAAAGACAATCAAACAAGATCAGTGAAGTAAAAGCAATGTGAATGTTATTTTATGTTTTTCTCAAGTTCTATAAAAGCAGTAGCATTGCCATTGCTAGTCATACAGGGAATGACTTGTCACCTTTTAGATTTAAAATCAACACATTACAGAGTTCCTACCATCTTTTTATTGCCTTGTCCTATAAATGGTCTAATTTTTCCTAAGGTTTGCATCTTTCAGCAATATGTAGGTATTAACTTCTGAATACCTTTTTCAGATAAGGATGAAATACTTACAAAGGAGTTTTTATTACTTCAAATATGAATTTTCAGAGAATTGTAATTAATAAGGTTTCTTTTGACAGCAGTATTTTGATAGATAGGTTTTAAAAAAAACCAACCAAACAAACCTATTTCAGTCTTTACTGATTAAGCATTAAAAGTCTTATTTCTATTCAGATATATATTGAAGACGAAAGAGTAGAGGGATGCCACCACCTTGTTGTCATTTTGAGATTCTGAATGAAATGTGACATACTCATGTCTGTGTCCCACAGACCAGGGT